CGCGGGCCCGTACGACAGGCACGGCTGGGAGGACAAGGCTTCGCACGACAGGCACGGCTGGTACGACGAGGCTTCGTCCGACAAGGCTTCGTACGACAGGCGCGGCTGGGATTTCAAGGCTTCGTCCGGCAAGGGTTCGTCCGACATGCCCGACTGGTACGACGAGGCCCCGAGGTCGTACGACGGGCGCGGCTGGGGCGAGAAGGCTTCGTCGGGCAAGGCTTCGCCCGACAAGCACGGCTGGGATGACGAGGATTCCTCCGACAGGCACGGCTGGAACGACAAGGCTTGGTCTGATAAAACTTCGTACGACAGGCACGGCTGGGACGACATGGCTTCGTCCGACAAGGCGTCGTCCGACATGCACGGCTGGTGCGACGAGGCCTCGGTGTCGCACGACAGGCACGGCTGGAACGACAAGGCTTCGTCCGGGAAGGCTTCGTCCGGCATGCATGGCTGGTGCGACAAGGCTTCCGACGACATGCACGGTTGGTACGACGGTCACGGCGGTTCCGAGTGGGGCTCTGAGCCTCAGAGGAAGCGCGCGAAGGTGGATGGCTTTCTGGAGCCGCTGTTGCATGAGCTAGTTGCCTCGTCCCCTATGGGGGTTTTTGGCGCCACAGCTGTTCTTCTGTCGTTCTCCCGAGTCGTCGGACAAAAGGCTGGCGAGAGTTGGCGCCGCGGGATCATTCGCTTGGCATGCGGTTCCGAGGAATTTGAAGCGGTAGGCTGGGCTGAGGCCGCGGGTCAGATCACAAGCATCGACCGCGGCTTCCTCGGCCACGCCATTCAGATCAATGGCTTACAGTTGAACACTCGAGGGAAGCTCGAAGTGATGCCAGGCTTTTCGGTGGCGTGGGCATGGACCCACCGCGAGGTGGCGAAGGTCGTGTCGTCGCCTTTCCCCGCCGCTGTTGCCAGCCCCGATTGGGCTCGAGTCCATTTGACTGGCACGGTCCACGCCACTGACTTAAGGAATGGCGTCACGACTGTGCGCCTTGTATCCCCAGAGTTGACCTTCGTCGACCTCCGGGTCGCCAACGAAGCTCTGCCGAGCACAGGGGAGACTTTAGTTCCAGGAACCAAGGTCACTGTATGGAGCGCGCAAGTGTCTCGTAAATTCTGCAACTTTACAGTGGACCTCGAGAGCACGTGGAGCAGCGTGCGCCCTCCTGCGGCGCCGTATGCCCCACCGCGTGTTCCGCAGCGGCTGCCGTGGCCCTAAGTGGTCTGGCGCGCGGGAGACAGCGTGCGCGGGCGCGCAGGGGAGAGGGCGCAAGGCATGAGAGACTTCGGTCATGTCAGACATGGCGGGGGGACGGCTTTGGGCACTCCTGCGGTTGGGGTCGGCACTGTGGTACCCACATCGTACATGCACATACGGCAGGGCTGAACTTCGGGCATACATACGCAGTGCGCCTTCTCTGTGTCCGTATCTGTATCCAACTACATGAGGGTGTATCTTGCTGTCCGATGGTCTACGTATATGGTTGTGGTCCTGTCCACCAAACTGCCTGCGCAGACATAAACATTCATGTCTGCATGTCAGCGCATGGTCTCATGCATGCGCGCATCCGTTTTCAGGATTCCTGTTTAGAAACTGGTGGACTTCAGGTAACGGCGAAACCGGTCCCGCGAACGATCAGCTGTTTTTGAGGTGTCGCCAAACATCTAGCAATATGAATGTCGGTGCGTGGGGGTCCTAGTGGCAGCTTATGTTTGGCGCGGTATGCGGAGGTGTGCACTTGTGCATCGATGTGTCCACAGGTGCATGCTTCAATGCGTCCTCCTCTTGGCCTGAACGGGATCGCAGCGTGTGTTGAAACAGGCCGTTTATAGCTGTACGTAGCAATCGTTGGCCTTCCTGTTTGTTCGCCTGTCTGCGTCTCGTGGCTATTGTGTAGTGGAGCTGGAATGTGTTGCTTCGGCGCCGCCATGCCAGAAGAGCAGCGGCGGCAGGAGTTGCGCTCTTCCGCACCAGCGCTGGCGGCGAGAACTGCCGCTGGAGAAACCAGTGTTTTCGGCCCGATCGCAAGCGGCGAGAACTGCCGCTGAACAAACCCGCGTTGTCGGCGCAACCGTTACGAAGGTTGCCGGGGGGCTCTGAACCATCCCGAAAGCACGGCCGCTGAAACATCCCGAACGTAAAGCACAGCCCCCAAAACATCCCGAAAACACGGCCCCCGAAACATCCCGAGAGCACGGCCTCTGAAACATCCCTAACGAACGGGCCCTGAGACATCTCCTGAGATGGCCCTGTGCCACTATTCCTATGTGCATGTCCACGTCGGGGTGCGCATCGTTGCCACGGCGGGGAACGCCTCGAATGCGTGGCCGAAACGCATGCCTAGACGGGTCCGGGGTGGGACTTTTGAGCCCGCGTCGTGGGCACGATGGAGTTGCTTCCTGCCCGCCTGCCTTCGTCGTCCTCGTCGTCGGCGTCGTCGCCCCCTCCGCCTGAGGGCTCCCGGCAGCTCGATGTGATTCCAGACGGTTCGCGTTCACCGCCCGCCCATTCTACCTCTCGCCGGACGAGGCGAAGACTGGCGACAGTTGCACATGTGGCAGCCCCAGGGCGACGACGACGCCGACGGCGACGACGTCGACGACGGCGACGACGACGTCAACGACAACGACCATGCTGATGACAATGATGACGATGACGACGACGACGGCGGGGCGGCCGACCAACCAGAAAATTCGAACTTTCCGGTCGGTCGTCCGCCCGGCCGTCGACCATGATGACGATGATGACGATGACGACGACGACGGCGGGCGGCCGACTACCCGGCTAGATCGAACTTTTTGGTCGGTCGTCCGCCCGGGTGTCGACCATGATGATGACGATGATGATGATGACGACGACGACGTCGGGGCGGCCGACCAACCGGAAAGTTCGAACATTCCGATCGGTCGTGCGCCCGGCCGTCGACCATGATGACGATGATGACGATGACGACGACGACGGCGGGCGGCCGACCAACCGGAAAGTTCGAACTTTCCGGTCGGTCGTCCGCCTGGGTGTCGACCATGATGATGACGATGATGGCGATGACGACGACGACGGCGGGGCGGCCGACCAACTTGAAAGTTCGAACTTTCCGGTCGGTCGACCGCGCCGCCGTCGACCGTGATGATGGCGATGATGACGATGACGACGACGACGGCGGGGCGGCCGACTAACCGGAAAGTTCGAATTTTCCGGTCGGTCGTCCGCCCGGCCGTCGACCATGATGACGATGATGACGACGACGACGACGACGGCGGGCGGCCGACTACCCGGCTAGGTCGAACTTTTTGGTCGGTCGTCCGCCCGGGTGTCGACCATGATGATGACGATGATGACGATGACGACGACGACGTCGGGGCGGCCGACCAACCGGAAAGTTCGAACATTCCGATCGGTCGTGCGCCCGGCCGTCGACCATGATGACGATGATGACGTTGACGACGACGACGGCGGGCGGCCGACCAACCGGAAAGTTCGAACTTTCCGGTCGGTCGTCCGCCTGGGTGTCGACCATGATGATGACGATGATGACGATGACGACGACGACGGCGGGGCGGCCGACCAATTTGAAAGTTCGAACTTTCCGGTCGGTCGTCCGCCCGGCCGTCGAGCATGATGATGACGATGATGACGATGACGACGACGACGTTGGGGCGGCCGACCAACCGGAAAGTTCGAACTTTCCGGTCGGTCGTCCGCGCGGCCGTCGAACATGAGGATGACGATGATGACGATGACGACGACGACGGCGGGGCGGCCGACCAACCAGAAAATTCGAACTTTCCGGTCGGTCGTCCGCCCGGGCGTCGACCATGATAACGATGATGACGATGACGACGACGACGGCGGGGCGGATATTTGCCCCCCCCAACCGTCTAGTGGTAGATTTGCCTCCCCATCCGTCTGGTGGTATATTCCCCCCCCCCCAAGTGCCCTCTTGGATTGCATGGGCAGCGTTTTGGCGCTGTTGTGGGCCGTTGCGGGTCGAGGTTGGGAGCCCAGGGCGCCCGTCCACTTGCCAGGCCCCCCCACGCCTCCCACCCCGTCCGCATCACGAAGGTCGATCCTCCTTGGCCTCTCCAACGCCAGTGCCCAATGGGCCGGCGAGTGTGTCAAGTTCTGCCCACGCGGTGTCAAAAAACCATTGCCAGAGTCGTCGCGGCAAGAACCTGACGTACGGAATCGCCGTCGTTCGTCTGGGCGTGTTTCTGTCTTCCCACTCCTGGCCCCCGCAGGGGCAGGGGGACCCCCGAGACTCGCGTCGGGTCCCAAGGCAGTCAGCTTTCGGGCTCAGGCTGCTGACAACTCCTTGGGTGGAAGGTGAAGAGGTCGGGGGGAGGGATGTTGAGCGGATCGTCGTCGTTGTCGTCGGCGTCGTCGCGTGCGGCCAGCCAGGTGCCCCTCGACAACGTGGTGGCGCATTCCTTCGGGTCCTGGGGTCGGGGGTCCTGGGATTCTAGGGCCTCGGGCATACCGGGACCTTGGAGTTTTTAGCGGTTTCAGGGATCCTGGGGATCTGGGGTCTTGGAATGCTGGGGCTCTGGTGTCCTCCCGTCCGGGCTGGGCGGCTGGCTGGGGGGTTTGCCGCGCTCGAGCAGTCAACGCTGCGCGTCGTGACGGTGTCCAGAGACCGTGATCAGGATTGTCGTGATCGTAATGGTGACACATATTGTCTCCCGGTCCAGATTGTGCATCTGGCCGCCGATGTATACCTGGGCGCCGCAGAGTGTCGAAAGAAAGCAGAATTTGGCGGGGGGGGGCGCGCGCCCGTTAGAGGTCGTGTGCAGGGGACCGCCTTCTTTTGTTGTTGCACTCGAGTCTCACTGGATGTGTGTAGTCGCAGAGCGCGCCGGTGTGTGTGTGTGTGGATGGCTGGGTTGGTGTCATCTGCTCCCTGTCTCTGTGCTGACCACGCTGTCGCGCGGCGCTCCTGCTCCGAGGTTTTTTCGGTGCCCCTGGCCCCCGCCCCCGCTCTCGTCCTCCGGTCGCAATGGCGGGAGTTGCTGCCATGGAGTTCCCCGTGCCTCAGGGTGCGCGTCTTAGCATGTCTTGTGTCGCAGCACAGCGCTGTCGGTCGACGGCGCGATGGATTCCCAGCGTACAGTGAAAGACGTCGGGTGTGTCAGACGCTCGCCCTCAGGGTGCGCGCGCGGTCGGTTTGTGCTACAGGCATGAGGTCATCTGCGGACTTGATTAGGAGGTCGTCCTTCTCGTCGGTACAGGTATGAGTGTTGATGGCACACATCAAAGTTGCCTTGAGATCCGCCTGACGGTTCGGTTTTTGTTGTGGCGGTCGTTCCCCGAGGCCACAACTTCAGCAGCCGCCAGAAGGTAACGCAGTGGCTGGCGGAGCAGCTGTCAGTCGAGGAGCTGGGCACGGTGGGAAAGAGATACGCCGATGACTTAGTCGTTCCTGTTCGGAGCGCGCGGCGCGCGGGTGTCAGAGGAACGGCGCTTGGGTGGGTAGGCACCACAGTATCGTAACAACCCGTAGGTGTAGGTAGGGAGGTGGATGCCCTGGACATCCCCAGTTTTGCGTCGTGACCTCGGCGGCCCACGGGCTCGTCCTCGACGGTTCATTGTGCCTGGCCCTACGTCTCATTCGTGTGCATGCTTCGGTCGTCGTATGCCCGCTCCCCTTCTCTCGAGAGCGCAGTCAGACAGCGTCGGCCGCCATCTCAGGCCAGAAGCAGCAGCGTGGCGTACCTCGAGCTGGTGAGTTTGCAGCACGAGACATCCATCGCAAACAAGCTCAACGGCACTCCTCTGTCCCCTGCCGACTTCGCCGTACAGCGAACGTCGGATGCTTCCTTGAAGCGCGAGCGGGAGGACTCGGCGAAGGACGTGAAGAAGGCCGGATGAGGGGCTTTGAACATTGTGCCATGACGTTAGTTGTGTTCAAGCTTGAGTGGGCGTTCGGCTCGGGGGCCCTCGGTTTCTCGGCGGTCCTGTGCCCCCACCCCAAAATTGGTCGCAGGAACGTCGAAGATACTTCTTCGTAGCGGGCACCCTGGGGAACCACTGCCCGTGCCTTCGGCAATGCTCTGAGTGTTTCCACGTGGTAGCGTCAACGGGATGTTCGAAGGCATGTGTGCCTGGGTGACGCGAGGAAGTGTCGCGCGGGTGCGCTCCTCGTCCGTCGGCGTTTCCTTTGCCTTTCCGCATTGGAGGGGCGCGCCCGAGCCCCGGGCCGTCAAAAGCGGACTTCGAGAGGGAACTTCCATCAGATGGGCCGCCTTCCTTTCGTTTGCGTAATCGTACATCTGTCTTTCTGTGAAGTGAATGGGTAACCGCCTGATTTCGCGTTCACTAGGTCGAGGCCCCATGTCCGCGGGACCGGTTTGGGCGCTACCTGGAACAAGTCCCGTCGCCGTCGGCACTCCTGGCGGGCGTATCTGCGACAAGGCGTGTCGTCCGCGGGATCGGGTTCAGCGTGGTCTACATTGACATAGCCGAACACCAGCGAACCAGGATTTCACAAATTCGTGCATGACCGCATCTATGCATTCCGTATAGAGATGCATGTGTGTATGTCCACGTATACGTATAGATAACACACATACGTGTATACATACGCACATTCATACATATATATATATATGTATAGAAATATATACACATCCCACCTCATGGCGATATGCCTGTCTACAAGGATCGGAGTCCGTAGGTCTCGGAACTACTCTTGGGTTTACGTACGATGAAGGCCATCGGGTGTTCCACTGCAGGGCACTGCGGCTGCGGTAGTATGCGCCCGCAGCACCCACTTGTTCTTACGTATTACATGCGGCACATGTTCCCGGGTCCACCAGGGATCTCCACCGCTACTCGTCGCCAACTGGCGGGATACTCAGACCGTCGCCCGACGTCCACGGGACCGGTTTGGGCGTTATTTAGAACATGCGCTGTCGCTTGTACCACGCACACACAATAGTAGCAATGGCCTCATAATGCCAAGACCCCGGGAATTTGGCATCGAAGCCACGTCGCGAGCTCGAGGTGGATGCTTCGGACGGAAGCCTCGCGAGATTTCTAGGTGCTCCCAGCCTGCTGGCATCGATTAGCTTCTGCGTGGCTTGCCGCCTGCGGTGACGGCTTGTCAGTGGGAGGAATGTAAGAGAGAGGGAAGACCGCAGGGCACCGGCATTGCGGAGAAGCTCCTCGATCTCTACGGAAGCGGCGGGAACGCCAGAGCTAAGCGCAGGTTCGCGCAGTCGCTGGCGAGGACTGTGGACCGATCGTCGAGTGTGGCGGCTTCAGGCCTTCGCACCAAAGCGATCAAGGAGGAGGCCGCTGGGGGGCGCGGGGGGCGTGAGTGTTCCCCAATCAGAGCTTGACTGAGTAGGGGTCCTAGCGGATTAAAGGGTTAGGTAGGGTTGGTCGCCGATTTCGGTGGCCGTGCCTGGGTGCCCGGGGGTGCCTGGGGGTGCCCGGAGATGCCCGGGGGGTGCCCGGTGGCGCTCGGGTGCCCTATAGCCCTAGCCTTATAGGCCTATCCCCTTGTAGCCCTAGCCCTTTAATAACCCTATAGCCCTATAGCCTGATAGCCCTATAGCCTCAGAGCCCTAGAGCCTTGTAGCCCAATAGCCCCCTAGCCCTGTAGCCCTATGGCCTTATAGCCCTATAGCCCTGTAGCCCTATAGCCCTATAGCCTCATAGACCTATAGCCCTACAGCTCTATAGCCCTACAGCCCTATAGCCCTATAGCCCTATAGCCCCATAGGCCTATCGCCCTGTAGCGCTATAGCCGTATAGCCCTATAGCCCTATAGCCCTACAGCCTTATAGCACTATAGCCTTATAGCCCAATCGCCCAATCGCTCTACAGCCTTATAGCCCTATAGCTCTATAGCCCTATAGACCTAGAGCCCTACAGCCCTATAGCCCTATAGCCCTATAGCCCAATCGCCCAATAGCCCAATAGCTCTATAGCCCTATAGCCCCATAGCCCTCTAGCCCCATAGCCCCGTAGCCCTATAGCCATATAGCCTCATAGCTCCGACAAAAATCTGATTGGGGTTTTCACCGGTGTCATGTTATCTCTGCTTGCGCGGCGCCTGGGAGTCTGAATTGAAAGTCCCATGGTGTTCGAACGGATATAGCTTGGTTGGTGTTGATCTGTGCGTGCGGTTTGTTTTCCGAGGTGTCCCGGATTTCTCCGAGGCCAAGTTGGGAAGCGGAGAACGCGTCAGTGCGAGGACGAAGGGAACGTAGACAGCAAAATGTAAAAATAGAGAGTGGCGATTAGGGCGGTCTATTAGGTTGCTTCCTGCCGTTTGCGTGGGGTGGTGCAGACGTTCATGCACCGTCGAGGTACGATCTTGATCGTCTGAGGTCGCACGCTGACCGTCTTGGGAAAGTGTCGGTGTGCTCCGCGAATCAGACCCAAACAGTTGTGAGCAGATATCGGACCACGTTGGCGTCTTCCATGGGGGAATGAGGGCGCAGGACTGACGGATGGAGGACCGGATGTATGGGGTGAAGCGGCGGGCGTCTTTTTATCAAGCCTTACCCCAACGGGTGGGAAGTATCGAATGGCCTTCGGATCATCCCGCCACCGTGCCTGGCTTGTGGACGACAGGCGTTTTGTGTGAACGAGGTGTCCGCGGATCCTCACCTCCCGCTCCTCCTGGCCTTCCCGGCGCCTGCTCCTGCACAGCCTCTCCCTCCTTCCGTATTCCGTCCTCCTCTGTCCCTCTGCATTTCCTTTTCTCATCCTCCTTCGCTGCCTGTCTCCTCTTCCGTCCCCCTCGTCTCCCCCTTTGTCTCCCTAGTCTCTCTCCCTCCCCTCTCTCTCTCCTCCTTCTTCTGCGCGCGGTCCCCTGCGCGCTTGTCTTCTGCTCCTCCCAGACCGCCAGAGACTCGACAATGTCGAGTCCGAGAGTTGTGCTCTTTGGCGTCTGGGGGCCGTTTTCGGGCCCGGGACTGTGAAAGAATGTGTCGGGACGAAACACCGGTCCGAGGGGAGTGGTCCAGACTCCCGGGGCTCGTCACTCGAAAAGCAAGATGTACGAAGGCAAATCGCTGTCCAGAAGGAGTATGGAGACCACGATGATGATGATGGCGATGATGAAGACTATGTTGCTGGTGGTGATGCTGGTGATGCTGGTGACGAAGATGATGGTGGTGGGATGGTGATGATTATGACGATGGTGATGCTGCTGATGATGACGGTGATGAGGGTGATGATAGAAATGACGACGGTGATGTTGACGACGAGTATAATGATGGTGGTGGTGATGGCGATGGTCGTGACAATAATGGTGATGATGGTGATGGGAATGATGGTGACGGTGATGATGATGCTGATGGTGGTGGTGGCGGTAGCGATGATGAGGATGATGACGATGCTGACGGTGAGGTGGAGGCCGCCATAGGACAGGTGGCGAGGAGGAGGGGGATGATGGGGAGGGCGACGAGGAGGGGAAGTAGCAAGAGGCTGGAGGACTGGAGGGGGGAGGGAAGAGCATGGGCATGGAAGAGCATGGAGGAGCAGGGGCGATGATGAGCACGAGCAGGATGTGGAATGAGAGGAAGCATGTTGATGGAGAATGAGGACCGGTGGAGGTAATCGGCCCAGTCGTGATGAACGTCGGGTGGCTGGATTGGCGGAGGCATTCATGGACTGAGGAGGGGTGCCTGGAGGGGTGCCTCACCCCAACGGTTGGGAAATGGCTGTCCTCTCAAAGTACAGCGCAGGGGTGGCACAGGATGGATTGGTCAGAGAGGTCGGCGACGTGCTTCTGCTTTGCTAATGATCGGCGGCGGAGGCCCCCGTTGACGCGGAGTCGGATGAGTAGATGCACAGAGGGGCGCGTGTGAATTCGGCGCGCGCTGGGCTCGTGAGCTCCCATGTCGGGTAGGTGTGTCGGCCATGCCCGGTGCAGCCGTGCCTTAGCCGTAGTTGTATGCATGAATGCATCACGGCATGCATGCAATGATGTGTGCGTTGTTCACCGCTCTTGCTGTCCCTGCCAGTTTCACATATGTGTGTCTTTGTGGATACCTAGGATGAGCTCAGTGTGCATCCCAGTATTCGCCGAAACATGTGCAATTGTATGCATAGGTGCTATGTAAATGTATGTGAGTACATGTATGTGTTTAAATGGCTGCATATGCAATTGTACATGCACCGGTTTGCTTCTCTCTGTATCTCCTGCAATTCGCTGTGGCTGCGTAGGTAACGGCTGTGATTTCGGCGCGTGGTGGGCTCGTGAGCTCCCATCTCGCGCAGGTGTCTCAGCCATGTCTGGTGCAGCCGTGCCTTCCCTTTAGCTGTATGCACGAGTGCATTGCGGCATGCATGCAGGCATGTGTACGTCGTTCATCGCTCTTGGTGTCTTTGCGAGTGTCTACATACATGTGTCTTCGTGTATGCGTAGGATGAGCTCAATATGCATCCTGGGAGCAGCCGAGACATGTACAATCACATGCATGCATGTATGTGAATATACGTAGGTACATGTATATGTATGAATGGCAGCGTGTGCCATTATTCACGTACTGGTTTGCTTGTTTCCTTCTCTCCTATAGTTACTTGTGGCGAAGTAGGTAACGGCAGAACCGGTCCGCGGCGGCCAGCGGCGAGAACAGCCGCTGGGGCGCGGATCGGGCAGCGTTGCAGCAGCAGAAGCGGCGAGAAGTGCCGCTCAAGAAACAAAGCGGTGCCGGTTCGGTCTGTGTGCTTGCATCAGCAGTCACGCGCGTCAGCGATTCCGTGGTTCCAGGGGAGGGGGGGCGAGGCCTTCTGGACGCCAGCCGAGGAAGTTTTCGTGAGTTCCGATTCGCAGGAAGGGCCCGTGTCCATAGCGTATGCCTGGAACTGTCTGTTGAAGGTCATCCTGGAGCATGCGTGCTCCCCCACCAGCACCTCGCAGGACCCCCGCCTCCCGCACGAAGGTTTTGGTCGCCTTTTTCGGTTTCGTTTGGGGCTGCTCGGGCTCCTGGACCGACGTTTCTGTCGCTCCGTTTCCAAATGAAAGCTGGAAACATTCGCTTGATGTCGGAATGCGAGCCCATGTCGTCCTCGTTCTTGTGTTTCTCGCGAGGGGGCACGATGACGGGCATCGCCAGCCGAACACGCGCAACGTATGCGACTGTTGTGTGGAAAGGCCGCCAGACATCACAAGACACATACAGGAAATTACCCAAACCCTCTTCCTCTGTTGGAAGAGAGCTGTGCCAGGGTGTGCCCAAAATTAGATGGTTTTCGCGAATGTGTTGCAACACGTTGAGGGGCTTCAAATGCTAGAGGTGGTCGTTGATGTCTGTTGCGGTCAAGCTACATCCGATTGGCTCGCTCCCGAAGCATAGGGCGGCGACGGCGTGCCTTTTCGAGGCCATCATGGAACCATCAGGGGCCGTCTTGGCGGCATTTTGGGTGAATATGGAGGTCTTTTGTCGGGGGAAGGGGAAGCGACACCAACACCACCATGGAGGCCTCTTCCAAAGAGGAGGTCCACGATGCCTCCCCGAGTTGGGGATAGGGGGCGTCTCGAGCGAGGGGTGGAGGCACCCCACCAAGGAGCCCCCCCTGGCTGGTCGAGCTGCCGCTCCCTGGTGGTGTTGGTGCCGGTTTTCCTCGTTCTTATCTTGGCGCCATGGGGCGACCCTGGGGGGCGAACATCGGGGCCGGCACGGGGCCTGACGTCCGCCGGCCCGCGCTCCGGGCGACCACCTCGGGGGGGGGGGGGATTCAGCTCGCATAGCAGAGCATGGCATTGCTCAGTTTAGCGCAGCATAGCATCGCACAGCATAGCATAGCTTAGCATAGCTTAGCGCAGCATAGCATATCACAGCGTAGCACAGCATAGCATAGCATAGCGCAGCATTGCATCGCCTATCATAGCATACCATATATTACCGTAGCACGGCACAGCTTACTACGCTTACTACTATTAATACGACTACTATTACTACTTCTACTACTACTACTACTACTACTACTACTACTACTACTACTACTACTACTACTACTACTACTACTACTACTACTACTACTACTACTACTACTACTACTACTACTACTACTAACTACTACTACTACTACTTACTAACTACGACTACTACTACTTACTACTATAACTACTAGACTACTACTACGACTACTACTATACTACTACTACTACTACTACTACTACTACTACTACTTACTACTACTACTACTACTACTACTACTACTACTACTACTACTACTACTACTACTACTACTACTACTACTACTACTACTACTACTACTACTACTACTACTACTACTACTACTATACTACTACTACTACTACTACTACTACTACTACTACTACTACTACTACTACTACTACTACTACTACTACTGCTACTACTACTACTACTACTACTACTACTACTACTACTACTACTACTACTACTACTACTACTACTACTACTACTACTACTACTACTACTACTACTACTACTACTACTACTACTACTACTACTACTACTACTCTCTGGGGTTGTTTCTGGTGCGAGGTGAAAAGACTCACGTGGGTCTTTTCACCTCGCATAGTATAGCATAGCATAGTATAGCGTAGCATAGCATAGTTTAGCGCAGCATCGCATCGCACAGCATATCGTAGCTTAGACGGCGACGACAAAGACGGGGGGGGGGGCGCCTAACAGTGCTCGTAGGAGGTGAACGGGAGGAGGAGGTCGGGAGGAGGGCGTGAGGAGGAGGATCGGGAGGAGGAGGTCGGGAGGAACAGGATCGGGAGGAGGAGGTCGGGAGGAACAGGATCGGGAGGAGGAGGTCGGGAGGAGGAAGTCGGGAGGAGGGGGACCGGGAGGAGGAGGTCGTGAGGAGGAGATCGGGAGGAGGAGCATCGGGAGGAGGAGGTCGGGAGGTGGAGGGTCGGGAGGGGGGTGGTCGGGAGGAGGAGGATCGGAAGGAGGAGGATCGGGAGGAGGAGGATCGGGAGGAGGAGGGCGGGAGGAGAAGGATCGGGAGGAGGAGGTCGGGAGGAGGCGTCGGGAGGGGAGTCGGGAGGAGGAGAATCGGGAGGTGGGGGAGGTCGAGAGGAGGAGGTCGTGAGGAGGAGGTCGGGAGGAGGAGGATTGGGCAGACTAGGATCGGGAGGTGGAGGTCGGGAGGAGGAGGTCGGGAGGATGAGGGCGGGAAGAGGAGGTCGGGAGGAGGAGCATCGGGAGGAGGAGGTCGGGAAGAGGAGGATCGGGAGAGGGGGGGATCGGGAGGAGGAGGATCGGGAGGAGGAGGCTCGGGAGGAGGATGATCGGGAGAAGGAGGGCGGGAGGCAAGGGGGAAGAGCTCCGAAGGGTCGGTGTTACGGAAAGGTTGAGGAGCGATGGAGAGGGAAAGGGAGAGAGGAGAGATGGACCGCGCGACGCCGCGCGCCTTGGCTCAAGCCGTCTCTGGCTTGAGCGGCTGCAACAGGGCCCCACTCCGCGCGGCCTCCCGGGGGGGCCGGCGGGGCGGGGGCCGGACAACAAGGAAGCCCATCTCTGGTGGAAGGGGGAGTAAGCGGCGAAGCTCAAGCCCTTCGGCGGGGTGGGCTCGCAGGGTACTCCCCCGGAAACCGGAGATGGGGCTTCACGTAAAGAGAAGGCCAACTGGGAGCCAGAATCCCAAAGGGTCGACTGGGAACCAGAATCCCAAAGGGCCAACTGGGAGCCATAATCCCAAAGGGCTTACCGAGAGCCAGAATCTCGAAGGGAGCGCCGGCGTCCATAAGCCGGTCCCCCGAAAGGGGTGTATTTGTATGGGATCCCACGTGGGTCCTGTGCCGATGCTGCATGGAGCGCCGGCGCCCATTAAGCCGGTCCCCCGGGAGGGGTGTGTCGTGGCGGAGACCCCCGGGTCATCCCCGCGTCGCTGCGAACATCCACGGAAACGCTGGGTAATGTTAAATTTGCCGTTTCGGCGCGGTGGTTGTCGTCGTGGTGATGCTGTTGGTCAGTGGCGCGGTTTTCCTTTGCGGCGCGGCGGGTCTCATCGCGGTTCCGTTGTCGGTGAATTTTGTCGTAGAAGGGGGAAACGCTCGCAAATTTAGAAATTTTCGTTTCGGCGCGGTCGTGCTCGCTGTGGTTATGCTGCGGATCAGTATCGCGGTGTCCCGTTTCGGCGCGGCGGGTCTCGTCGCGGTTATGTTTTTGGTCAGAAGTGTCATACACGGGGGAAACGCTCTCAAATTTTGAATGTGCCGTTTCGGCGTGGTGGTGTTCGTTGTGGGAACGCTGCCAGTCAGCGGCGCGGTGTCTCGTTTCGGCGCGGCGGGTCTCGTCGCGGGTACCTTGTCGGTCAGTGTTGTCGTAAAAGGGGGAAACGCTCGCGAATTTGGAAATTTCCGTTTCGGCGTGGTGGTTTTCGTTGTGGTGATGCTGCCGGTGACCGGCGCGGTGGCCCTTGTCGGCGCGGCGGTTCTCGTCGTAGTTACGTTGTCGTTCAGTGTTATCGCAGAAAAGGGAAACTGTCGCACACTTTAACCTCTTCGTGCCGGCGCGGTAGTGTTCGTCGTGGTTGTGCTGCCGGTGAGTGGTGCGGTGTCGGGTGTTCACGTCGCGGTGCCGATGGCGTCCGCTGTCGTAGAAGTGCGCGCAATGTTGGCTGCCGCCGTCGTGTGTGCTGCAATGCGGCTCGAGAGCGCTTTCATTCGGGTATTCTGGGCTGTGATGGCGGAGCTGGTTCTGGTGATGTTACCTGCCGCTGTTTGTCGATTGGAGCTGCCCGCGATCGCCATTCTCGGCGTTGTAGGTTTGTCAGAGGGCGTAAACCGAGCGGCGGTGTGCACTGCCGTCGTCTTTCCGGCTTTCTGCGCCATGGACGTCATTGTGTCGCAAGGAAGCAAAGCAGCGCCAGTGACAGTCGGAGCCCTGCAGCCCAAACCGGTGATGCCCAGAAGCGAGGCACGTACACGGCGGTGATGAAAGCACCAGGTCGGAACAATTCGGCAGGCAGGCAGACAGCAGACGTCGTTGACGCTTCCTTCTTCGACGTGTTGCGCGCGTTCCTTTTTGTTGGGCTCGGGCATGCTTCGAGCCCAACTGGGTTGCGGCGTATCGCGACGTGGGTGTCGGGCCGCGAAGCACGTCGTGTTGGGCGCGCCCGCGTAGCTCGCTTCCGTCTGTCGCCAGGGAGCGGCGTGAACCGAAAGGTGCGCCGGCAGGGTGGAGGTAGCGACGAGTGTGGCGAGGGCGTCACGACATGCGCAAGGAGCTGTGGTGTGCCCTTCGAGACCATCGGTGATGGAATGCTCTTCATGGTTGTCGTGTGGTCGGCGTACGTGACGTGCGCACCGACGACCCCGGTGGCGACCCTGGCGGCAGACGACGCAACCGTGGGGCCCTGGGAGAACAAGTGCTTGCAAGATGCGGTAGCGCGTATGCAGCGCGGTCGTTGGCGCCGTGAAGCGTTGCGCTTTTTTGCGACTGAGTGCGCCAATCATACATGGTCCGGTGTGGGCGGGGCGGGTCGGGTAGAAGAGCAGAACATGGACGCGGCCCAGCGGTGGTTGTGCCAGCACAATGCCTTCGCGCGGGTGTACGAGGCCGAACACGTCGCGGATTTTCTGGTGGAAGGATCCCTTTGGAGGTGGCGGTTGGGTGATGCGGATGGCCGCTGCGTCGGGTCGGCCGTTTGGTTATCCGAAGGACATGTAGTTCGCGTCGCACATGGGCACGGTTCGTTGAAAGGGGTGGAGGGAGATGCGGTGCAGGCCCCGTGGCGACGTTATGCGGCCGGCGCATTTCGTAGCGGCACAAAGGTGGTGCCAGCGGCAAGCAGTAGCGCGAGCGCGAGTGCTTGGCAGCATCGTGACGCAAGCCCTTTCATCATGGGTGACGGGCCGTGCTGTTCCGAGAAAGTGCGGGCACTGGTAAATCGGCGGTACCGAAAGATGCCCACCAGCGGCTTGGGCGGCGCTTGTGGCATTAATGCGCTGTTCGGCACGGCCGGCCCAGGTGGCCTGCGGCGCGGCGACGCGAGAGGGTTCTTGCGACGGACGCTCGGCGAGACTGCAGAGGAAGTGCGCCGAAATTGTCGCAACGCTCCAGCGCTCGATGACCCGATGAACTCGGCGTGGAAGCATGTGATCAAGCCGCAAGCGCAACAGCATGTCGGTCAGAATGATCGAATTCTCGGCATGTTGGCAGAAGAAAGGAAGGTATGGGAACATATAAAGGGGAAGAGACGTGTCTTGAATGCCTGTTTGCGCGCCGTGAAGGAAGAGAGTGAAACGTTGCTTGTCTTCGAGCAGAAACGCTGCGAAGTTGCAAGCGCGCTGAGAAAAGTGTGCGAGAATGAAATGAAAGATATGTTTCTGCGCCCACTGCTGACTCGCATGGGCATCCTTGGCGACTGCGAATGCGTCGGTGATGGCGGACATTGGAAGATCGACGTCGTTGGCGCAGACACAGAGCTTGGACAGCATTACCGCCGCGGCATCGTGGAGTACTTTGGCATGAACAACGTGGACACTTTTCTCACGCACTTCAATAACACGGTGGCTGATTTACAGGATGCGCACGTAGACAGAGCATTTCGCGCTGGAGTTGGTGATTTTGTTGTTTTTTATGAATTATTATTTTTTATTTTATTTTTGTTTAATTTTCCTTTTTTTTTATTATTTTTGTTATTTATGTTTATTTTTTTTCTTGTTTTTTTTTTTAAAGTTTACATTTTTTTTTTGGTATTGTTTTGTTTTTTGTCTTTAAGTATTAGTTACTTTCTATTTTTTTTTGTTTGTTTCTTTTTTTTTGTATATTTTGTGTTATTTTTTGTTTGTTATACGTTTTTTTTTTATATTTTTTGTTTATATTGTGACGTTATTATTTTTTTATTTTGTAGGACTAGTGGAGGAGGCCCGCGCGCACGCGCCCGTCGTCGACGCAGGGGAGTCTGTTTTGGTGCAGGAGCCATTCGAGGACTTCTTCGCTCTTGTGTACCCCTGTTATTTGGAGGCCTTATGTTCAGATGGATATTATCTGAGCGATTTAGAGCTGCTATTATTGTGCGAATGCGCACGTCTGAATGCGGTAATAGCGCGGGAGGTTCGAGAGGAGCGTGGGCCAGCCTTTCAGCTGCACAAGTGTGTCTTGCCCGCGGGCGACTCGGGGAATGTCATTGTTATCGGCATAAGCGCGGGCATGGGGAGGAGCGCGGTACGAGGACATTACGAGCGTTTGGAATGCGTGTCGAGAGATGGCCCACCCCCGAGCAAACGTCGCGCCAGGGATCGCTCCTCGACGGAAGACGGCGCGGCCGCGCTCGCAGGCCGAATGTCGGGCGAAGGTGCACCGGGACCTTCGAGGGAGACGCATTCGCCACCGTGCATGGACGTGGAAAGAGGCGCGGGGCGCGGGGGGCACAGCGGCAGCGTGCGCAGTGGCGGGACGAGTAGTCGCGCGGGGAAGAAGGTGTTGAGGGCTGCGTGGAGCAGGAGAGAATGCAGCGATGGGGCGGGGCGCCGCGGGCAGTGCGCAGAGGGCGAGGTGCGCGCGGCAGATGCCGACGCGAACGACGCAGGACTGGGCGTGCACAAAGAGAGGTCGGCGGCGTCTGCTTGGGGGGCCGGTCTGGCTGCGACGGTGGCTGGCGGTGTCCAGGCTGGAAGAAGGGACGAGCAGCGAACGGATTTGGGCCAGGCTGGCGGCGGGCACAGAACGGGCAGGGATGGCCGCGAGAGCGCAACGGCGACCCCGTGCACGGCGCCCACCGCGACAGCGAACACACAGGGGCCCATTATGGAAGGCGTGACCGCCAGGCCGGGACGGGAGCCAGCACTGCATATCCTTCCGGGTGATCTGCTAGCACCGGTGCGCGTCGTCCGAGAGTCTGATGTTCGCGGATTGCGCCTCTTGCGAAGTACGTGTGCAGAGCCCGAAGTGCGGGAGATTCCGGGGTTGGATTTCGTCCCCAAAGAGCTCCACGCCTCTCTTTGGAGAGCGTGGGGGGAAACGGTTCCATTGCTGCGGGTCATGAAAGAGAAGTGGGTTCGAGAGTGGCGGGGGTGGAGTGCCGCGCGGAAAGAGCTGCTGAGCGCTCGCTGCGTGGAGGATCGGTGCCGCGTGGTGGAGGACCGCGCGGTGAAATTCATGGAGTTTTTGATGGGGGCGGTGGTATTCGAGGCAAGGACCGACGAAGAGCGCGCCGAAGACATGGCCGGATCAGGCCGCCGCGTGGGTTGCGGTCTTGGGCACGGAGTTGGCGCGTCCCTTGCGGACTGTATATTTCAGGTATTGGCTCGTTGGGGGTGGTGTACTCAGGCATTGGCGTCAGAGGAGGGGCGCCGTGCCGCGTGCGACGCGTGCATTGATCACCTACGCAACGTCGGAGATGCATGGTTGGCGCTGGGGTCGCATGGGGGTGAGCTCCGACACGGCGTCCACGCAGGCGAGATCATGAGATTCGCGCTGGCACGGTACCGGGCGGCGGATGTAGCGCTGCCCGACGAGATCATCGTGCACACGTTCTCCCGCTTTGACGGGCTCCTTGGAACGCACGGGCAGGGCGTTTCCATCTCGTTTACTCGAGCGGAGCTCGAGGGCGAAAGGCCCGCTTTCGGTGAATGGCCGTGCGTCGAGCAGGTGCGCGCTGAGGGCGAGGTCGCCATACTCGAGGTGTACAATCACACTGGGGTGGACATTGCAACCGCGACGTACAAACCAGTATGGCCATGCGCGGGGAAGGAGTCGCCGGCGGCCGCGCCTTGGATGACGAGTGCCAACCTCCGCACCGGTAGCGGGGACCTTGTCCAGCAGACAGAAGGCACCAATGCCGACACGAGGGCCAAGCGCCCGCGGATTACAGGGAAGACGAGGTCAGCTGACGCCGCAGCGCCGGGAGCCGGCGGCCCCACCGACTCGGGCGGCACACCGGTGGCATCGAGCGCCATGACGAGTACCGGCGCAGCACAGGAGGATGACGGCGCGGTCCATGCAGACGCGCCAGGCCACGTGCATCGGGTCCGCGCTGCAAACATGTCTGACGACCCGCGACGGAAAAGGGAAGGAGATTTGGAAAGGGTCGCGATAGAGTACTTGAAGGATGCACCAACGCTGCCCGCCGTCTCGACGAATGGGTCTGCCTTCGATGCGGGAGTCCGTGAATCTGTCGGAGCATTAGGATTGCCGAGGAAGCACTGCGCGTTCAAACGCCGGATGCAGGACGGGGGGAAGCCTTGCCGATGGCATGGAGATTCGGATGCAGACCTGTGCGCGCACCTGCTGCAAGAGCATCGAGCGCAGCTCGAGGAGATCGCAACCTCGCTGGTTTGCGTTGCTGCTGAGGAAGAGAAGAGCGAAGAGTTGCGGTACCTTTCTGCGTACAACGAGGTCGCGGCATGGAAGGTACGTCAAGGAGCTCCTCTCGCCGCACTTGCCATCGACCGGCGATGTCTCCATGCATATGCAGAAGCGCTGGGGGAGGAGTCAGTGTGTTCTCTCGTCTGTATGGTGTGTGCGCGGAAATTCCCTCGCGTGGAAGGGCGCCGGGGGAATCCAATTACATGGCAGAAAGTGTCGCCGGGTTTGGATGGATTCTTCGGACTGCCTGGCTCGTTCGTCAGAAAGCACTTGTCCGTGGACAGTTATGTGGATCGGTATGGACAGGTCGGAGGTGACGTGCATCTGCGGGACCACGCGGAGGAGTTTGAAGACTGGCAAGCAACGGTCGCGTCGGTCGATGGGCCCGTGAAGGTGTTGTGTTGCCCCGAAGACATGCGTTGCAGCGCGGAGTCCTGGCGCGAAGGGGATGAGGTGTGCGACCGTTGCGAGGCGCCGTTGTGCGAGGAATGCCGAACGGGTATGTCTGGCCCGAGAGGAGAGGCGGTCGTGCCCCCTGCAGCTCTCGCGAATGACATGATGACGTTCTACTCACCGGAAGAGCTATTCGTAGGAAAAGTAACCTTGCTGGAGATGATTTGCGCGTCCGTGTGCGTGACCTCGATGGTATGTTTCACATTGGAGAAGCGGTATCGGAACGAACGGTCCTTTGACATGGAGGCGGGGAACAACGCGCGTCGGATGGCTGCTCGCGGGAACGCGACGTCCTTCCCGATGCCGTGGACGGACATGCTCGCGCAGCTGACCGCCTTGGAGGAAGGGGCGTCGAAGGCAAGGCCGCCGTCGTTGCCGCGGACAGGCGCCGAGCTGGCAGACATAGTGTCGGTGATCTTGAAGTCCGGAGGCGACGACGACACGGCAGCGAGCATGGCGAAGTTCGTGCATCAGGCGTTGGTCCGTCGGGAAGTGGTCGTGAGGCTGATCGAGGGGGCGAAGATGCGTGGGCACCGAGCGTACCAGCACGTTTGCATGGAAGAGGTGCGAAAGAAGGCTGCGGAGCTTCCTGAAGGTGGGGTGCCGCCCGAGATCATGCGCTTGGTGCCTTTAGACGACGCGCTGGACAAGATACAGGTGCAGAAAGCAGCGACGCCAGTGCCGCGCCCGGACGGGATGCAGGAAGCGGCGGAGATCTTGGAAGCGACGAAAGGCAACGCCGTGGTTCTCGAGAAGAGCAGCTTCGATGACGGGGACATCAATGCCCAACGCGTGGAAGCCTTACGAAGTTTTGTACAGAGGGTGTCGCCAGAATGCGAGCAAGGTGGGACCAGCGAGCGCACGGAAGACAGCGAGTGCGAGTCGGAGCACGAAGGCCCCCGAGTGAAGCGCCCGCGCGAAGGCGGGCGAGGAACGGTGCTCGACGTTGCACCGGCGAAGGAGAGGGAAGAGGTGAGATTGGTGACGGGGGCGATGGAGAAGAACGAACGAGTGGATCGGTTGCGGGTCTGTACGGGGAACACAATGATGGATCAATTCGAACCGTGGTATTTCGGTGTGGCATTTGCGTTCATTTTCAAGTACTGTACAGGCATGCCCGACATGCCGGCTTTCTTGAAGCGTCCGCGGTATCGGCGTTCTGAAGAGGCCCCGCGGGTGGAGCTGCCGCTGTGGGTTCGCATCATGAGTCGTCGCGTAGAGAGCCAGTTGGCGCGCGATTGGCATTTCGGGTTTGTGTCATGGAACTTGGTATTCCGTTCGGCGGTGAACCTCAGCAGGACGTGGTTTACGTACGTATCCGCGAACCCGAAGGATGTGGACGCGCAAATCACCCCCGAGGAGATCAGCGAAGGGGCGAAGCAGATCTACCGTGCATTGGCAGGGAAATATCAGGACGTGAACGGTAAGAAGCAGAAAGTCATGGGGGACATGACGAAAGTGCGCTACGTTCCTGGACTCGGCAGAGCTGCCCACAAGTTGCTCGCGAACATCGAGCACACGTCGCGGCGGCTACCAGGGACTCAGGAGACGCGACGGGTCATGCGGTTCCAAACCAACGCGCTCCGCGTACGGTATGGTGTACCGATTTTCGTGACCTTCTCTCCCGACGAAGGGCACAATCTCATCATGGCACGGTTGTCGCGCACGCGTCGTCGTGACCCCGTCCACAATGCGGAGAGCGACATCGGTGCGTCGCGGGCAGCGGGTAGTCGGGAGTGGCCGCAGGTCGCTCCAGGAACGGATGACGTGCGCCTGGAATTACCGCTGGCGGCGATAATGTCGCAATTGCCTACGTGGGAGGAGCGCAGAAAGATACTCGCTCGGGATCCGATGGCGAGCGTGGAGGGCTTCCGTGTGATCGTGGACGCGACGATGCGGCATCTTTTTGGAATGCGCACGTGTCCGCACTGTCCGAGATGCAACCATAGTGAGCGAATGACGCCGTGCCAGGATTTGTTCGGAAGCAATGCGGCGCCGGAAGGTGGGGTGTTCGGCAGGGTGGACGCGTGCTATGTCTCTATCGAAGCGCAAAAGTCGACGGGCGCGCTCCATGCGCACTGTCAGGTGTTCGTACAATGTCTACACCAGCACACGCCGCTGGACGAGATCTTCGAACGCGTCCGGGACAATGTGGACGGGTGGGGGCGATCATTGGTAAAAGAGTCGTTGGAGTACAAGCGCCGGGTTTGCCGACAGGAGTACTCAGCGCGCGTCACCCCAGACGGTCTGGAGAAAAATCTGGAAGGAGCGGAGGCCGCGTGGCCGGAGTACAAAGCTGAGTGTGGGCTGGTGTGCCGTCCGACGTATCAGACGCGCAGGGCGGGACAGGGAGTGACGCAGCGGGAAGAGACGGGGGAAGCGTGCGCGTGGGAGAGGAGGTACCTCGACGGGGATGTGCAGTACCTCCAAGAGCGGAAGCAGCACCACGTGCACCTGGAGAACCCGGAGACGGGGGAGAGGGTGCCCTTGCCAGCGTGTCGTCGAAAGGACAACCCTAAGCTCTGTAAGGCCGATTTCCCACGAACGACGCAGCTCATCGACCATCCGGTTGTGATCTGCCCAGGGCTGGCGACGCAGCTGGATATGCCGAAGGCAGGCAGGCGGAACCGCGTCGGGAGTTTGCATGGGCCCATGAACCATGAGAGTCTGAATGGGACACACCCATGCATGCTTGCCGCGCAGCGGTTCAATTCGGACGTGCAGCTGCCGTACAGGTTGCCGATCACAAGCGAGAGTTGCACGTGCGGCAAAGGGTGTGCGGAGAAGCAGAACGACGCCGCCATCATCAAGGTGGTCCAGATGGCTCAGGACGCCCAGGCAGGGTATGCGTGTGATTACTGCACGAAGCGGCAGCCCCTGGCCTTCCATGAAGTCCGCGAGTGCTCCAGAGGGATCGAGAAGCTCAGCCGACAGCTGCGCGGGGAGAACGCGAACTACGTCGGCAAGCGGATGTCGACGCGCATCATGAGCGACGCCTACGGGAAGGGCATCGTTCGTGGGCAGGTGGAGTGTGCGAATCTTCGAGCGTATGCCATGGATAACGATGTGACGTCGGCAGAGTCAATCAAGACCTGTGAGACGATCGGTTTCTACGGACGCGAGTACGTCGAGACGGTGGAGAGGCTGTCGGACGGCACAACAGGAGGGCGCAAAGCACAGTTCGCGGAGGTGGATATGCGAAACCCGAGGCTCCGGAAAGTCACTATCAGGGATGTGGCCATGTTGTACGGACTTCGCCCGAAGCGGGACGGCCTGTGGCACTTGTCGCCGTACGAGTTCGTGACGTATTGGAGGCCTGTGCTCGTGGCGTACCCCACCAGTATAAGGGACGCCAGAGCCGATCGGGACAGGCACCACGCTTTCTTGACAACAGAAGGGGAGCAGAAAGTGAAGGAATGGGGTCGGAGGCAGGAGCAGGCGGAAGAGCTAGTGCCTGGTGTGGATTACATGGTGAAGGGCGACGCAGGGAAAGATTGGGTTGCCTTTCCAGACACTGACGGATGCCGGCATCTGCGGCACACGTGGGTTCTTGTCAGGAACAAGAGGCCGTTGGCGCCGACCTTTTTCGGGGCTCCCGTGCCTCGCAGCCGAAACGGAGAAGCTGAACGATCCGCGCGGATAGTCATGTCCTATTTCCACCCGTGGACGCTGCGACAGTCAGAGGCAGACGATCACGTGGTGTTCGCAGGCGGACTGCGGCGGGCCTCGAAAACGTGGGAGGGCGCTATGGTGTCGTGGCTAGACGGCGGAGTGCAGTCGGAAGAGGCTGCGCGGTACGTGGGCAATTTCCTCAGCGTGTATCGCGTGCGCCCGAGGGATGCGGAGCAGGAGGACGCGCGGAGTGAGGAGGACGTGAGCGACCAAGAACTGGAGGTGGGCTTTGACCAGTTGGACGAGGCTCTGAAGTCACGCGTCGGTGGTCGGAAACGGGACGACGGAGACGGTGACAGCAGTAGTGGAGAAGAAGACGGTGGCGCGGAGGGTGGTCTGGGTGGATCTTCCCATTACCAGAACTCGAAAGCAGGCATGGCCGTGGCCCAGGAAGTGTGGGGCCAGCGCCCGAGTGAAAAGTCGCTAGTGGAAGTCCGGAACGCGTGGCCGACAGCGGTCAGCTGTGATCTGGAGGCCGTGCAAGCCGCAGCAAGGGCGTCGCGAAACAAGGAAAAATCAATGGCCGACAGAGTGGCGGCGGAGGAAGGAAGTGGGAAGGTGGAGGCGCAGGGAGGGGCGACTTCCGGCCAGGTGGTGAAGTGGCTCAGGGAGCTGGAGTTCAGGACTGACAAAGACACAGGCCGGTGCGTCGTCAACGCGAAGCAGTTCGAAATGGTCAAGCATGTAGCAGAAAGGGCGATGCAAGAGCTGGACGGGGAGGCGCGAGGGGGCGTGGGCATGGGTGACCCGCTGCGTTGGTGCATGCACGGAGGGCCCGGCACAGGGAAATCACACGTGCTGCGCCTTCTGCGGAAAGAGCTGTTCGAAGACATCATGAAGTGGACGATTGGCGTCCATTTTCAAATCACGGCCTTCCAGGCAGTCATGGCGCAGCTGCTCGGCGGAGACACCATGCATCACGCCTGCGGAATTCCCGCCGTCAAACGTGGCGACGAGAAGGGGGAAAATGTGAAACTTCAGTACGATACAGCGAAGCGAGTTCTGCAGTGGAGGTGGTTGTTCATCGACGAGATCAGCATGGTCAGCGCCCGGCTGCTTGCCGAAGTAGACCAGAAGCTTCGCAGCGTCATTCGGGACGTCGGCACCCAGAAGTGCGGGGAAGACGGAGTGCCGCGGCCCTTCGGAGGCTTGAACGTCGTGCTGAGCGGAGATTTTTGGCAGCTGGCGCCTCCGGACGGGGGGTTCCTTGCAGACGTGCCAACGGAGCGCATCGCGGAGGCTCGGAGGTATACCTCGCTCCCGCCAGTGCTACACGGGCAAGCTCTCCTTTGGGGGGGTGGTCAGGAGGGCGTGCAGGGGGTAACGGAGCTAGTGGAGTGCGAGCGTTGCGACGATGCCTGGCTGAAATCCGTGCAAGAGGAGTTCCGCAAAGGAGACCTCACGGAAGACACACATTCCTTCTTGCACGGGCGTGATACTGGTGTGCCAGGATGTTGGCTACACGGTCAGGTTGAGTGTGGGAGCACGAGATGTCAGGCCTTGGGTGACGGCGCAGGGGTGTCGCAGAAGGACGTTGTCGGAGCACGCCGTCAGCGCGCAGTGACCCCGAAGGACGTCCGCAGGCAGGAATGTGCACAGTGCAGGCATGAGCGCGAACGGCGCCGGCTCGTCATCGCTGGTCCAGATGATCCGCGCATCCACACGGCGAAGTTTCGGTGTGCCCCCGGAGTGTTCCCGAATAACGACGTCAAGTATGAGGTGAACAAGCTCCGAGCGTCGCAATATGCCCGACTGCACGAGAAGCCGATGGTGTACGTCCCTGCGCGCGACACTCCGACGCCGGATGCGCTACGAGAGCGGCCAGATCTGCCACACCAAAAGATGGCCTGGCTGCAGCGCCACGACAAGGAGAGCGGGGACCTGTATGGGTTTTTGCCACTCGCGGAGGGAATGCCCGTGGCCCTCACCGATCATATCGATCGCAGCGAGGACAAGTACCTGCTCCGCGGACGCGTGGGGACCGTGCACTCATGGGTGTGTGATGGCGAGGAAGGAGCGGGTCGCGTCTCCCGGGGAGGGGAGACCATTTTGCAGAAGACGCCGAAAGTGATATTTGTCCTTTTCGACGAAGGTCGCGATGACGCAGGTAACGTGATCCCATGCAAGTGGACCATTCCGGGGCTCCGAACTCCGGGCCTGTACCCAGTTAGCCCGCAGAGAAAAGATTGGTTCGTGGACAAGGGCCGGCCGTATCCGCGTCTGAAAGTGAAGCGGCGGCAGTTTCCTTTGGCCCCGGCGTTTGGTGTCACGGCCCACTCAGCACAAGGCCAGACATTTAAGCAAGGTGTCATCGTGGATCTGAGGATTGGCGGGAGCAC